AGGGCTGGCCTAGGCGACCCTGCCCAGATACAGGGGGTTCTCGACGAGATCGGGGACTTGGTATGAAGGTGCCATCCCCGATCCGTCATAGTCGCTGGGGATTTCAACGCCCACTTGACAGGGTGGGATTGCAATCCCCGGCAAGGAGACTCCCGGGGCTTGGGGAGAGAATGCGGGAGCAGTTCCCCTGACTCCCCTCCTCACGGTCCGATCCCGGTAGACATCCCGCAGGGGTTTTAGTCGGTAGGAGTCCGACATAACCCCCCCAAGGGGTGGGGGTATCCATGATGGATTTCCCCTGCGTGACAAAAAAGGGGGACTCCCGGGGCAAGGTCGTTATCGATTGGGCGGGGGGGATTGGGCTTCCTGTTAATGAACAGGAGGTCTACCAGAACCTGTGTGCGGCTGAGGGGAGAATCGGTCATTGATTTGACCTGGGCATCCCCCTCAGCTGCCCGAATTTTTTGGGGAATGGGTGGTGGAGACGGAGAGTGAGACACTATCGGACCATAGGTACGTGGTGTGGTCTCTCCGTCTTCCCACCCCTCCACAGCGGATGCTGGACCGCCGCCCAGGGGAAGGGAACTCCCCTCCCCAAGAAATGGGCCCTTGGTCGACTTGACGCGGACAAGTTTCAGGAAGCAGTCCTTGTGGCTACCTGGCATCTTATAAAGAGGCCAGGTGAGTGGAACCTTAGCCCCCAGGAGGGGGCTAAGGAGATAGTGGGTATCGTGGCGTCGGCCTGCGACAACACGATGCCCAAGTCCCACCCCGTCGGCGCCGGGCCGCATACTGGTGGACGGACGCCATAGCCGAGTTGTGGCGGGCCTCCGTCCAAGCCAGGCGGGCTTACACCCGAGCCCGGCGACAAGACGGGGATGCCGCAAGGGCGAAAGAGGGCTACCTCCAAGCAAGGGAAACCCTCAAAGCCGCCATTGCTGCGGGAAAAAAGAGAGCCTGGGAAAAATTGGTGGATTCTCTTGATGAGGGTCCATGGGGATGCTCATACAAACGGACGGTCGGGAAGATCCGTCCGTGGGCGCCCCCAACAACGGAGTCCATGGACCGCCAGGACCTTGAGGGGCTCCTAGACACCCTCTTCTCTAGAGTGGATAGGGGCTCTTCTCGGATCCCCGTCCATAAATTAAGGGATGGGGACTGGAACGAGGACCTGGCGGTCACGTCAGAAGAGTTCGCCAAGGCTAGGAGAAAGCTCGGGGCCAAAGGAAAAGCCCCGACGTAATTCCTAGCCGGGCCTGGGCTCTCGCCCTCGGCGAAAAGAACTTGTCCGCGGCCACATGGGAAATGCTGAACGGATGTCTCAGGGAGGAGGTTTCCCCCCAGAGTGGAGGAGGACCAAATTGGTCCTCCTCCCCAAGGAGAGCAAAGTACCCGGAGGTGCGCCGGCCTACAGGCCGATTTGCCTGCTGGACGAGGCAGGCAAGATGCTCGAACGCATCATTGCAGACCGCCTCGTCCAGCATTTGTTCTCGGAAAGGCCGAATCTCCACGACCATCAATACGGGTTTAGGCTCGGACGATCGACACTGGATGCGATCCAGTACGTCCAGGACCTGACCCGGACGGTTGAGGAGGGGGGCAGGGTGTTATTAGCGGTGTCCTTGGACATCACAAATGCTTTTAACACCCTGCCCTGGCCGGAGATTGGACGGGCCCTCGAATATTACGGGGTGCCCGTCTATCTCCGGCGTATCCTCGCGGCCTACTTCGAGCACAGGGACCTCGCCTACTCGGGTGAGGCGGGGTCCCAGGCCGGCGCCGAATGGAACGCGGTGTCCCGCAAAGGCCAGTTCTTGACCCTCTGCTTTGGGACATCGTGTTCGACTGGGTGCTTCGCTTTCACCTTCTCCCCGGCTGCCATGTCATCTATTATGCGGATGACACTCTGGTTGTAGCCGGGGGGGAGGACTGGGGGGAAGCCCGCCTCCTAGTGGAGGCGGCACTGCAGTCGGTGGGGGCTACCATCAAGGGCTTGGGACTAAAGGTGGCGCTCCAAAAGACTAAAGCCGTCTATTTTCACGACGGCAGTCGAGAGGCGCCGCCGGAGACGCAAGTCCTGGTGGATGGAGTCCCCGTCCACGTCGGGCCGACGATAAAATATCTCAGCCTGACGTCGGACGGCCGATGGGACTTCGGGCCGCACTTCAGGCTCCTAGCCCTCCGTGTCCGCAAGATAGGTTTGGCCTTGGCCAACCTGATGAGGACCCAGGAGTCCCCTGGATGGAGGGTTCGCTGCTTATACGTGGGTATCGTGCTCTCGGTCGCCCTTTACGGGGCGTCCATATGGACGCCCCAGCTCCAGACCAGCCGCAGCAGCATCAGGCTGCTGCTGCAGGCCATGAGAGCTATAATAATGAGGGCAATCCGGGGATACGGCACAATTTCGTACATGGCAGCGACCACTCTGGCTGGCTCCTCTCCCGTGGTGCTCCTGTCTCATGAGAGATTTGTTCTCTATTGGAGAATCAGGGAGCTCCACGAGGAAGGGGAGGTGGTAATGGCCAGAGACCTGGCGGTCCTGAAGTCTCAGGCCAGAGCCCGGGTACTGGATCGGTTGTCGGCCATATTGGCGGACCCCCGAGGACCCAGGCTCCGAACGGCCGAGGCCGTCCGCCCCTGTCTGCCCGAGGTAGCTGACAGAAGAGGGCGGGGATCCACCTTCCATCTGACGCAGATGCTGACGGGACATGGATGTTTCGGAAAGTACCTGCGTCGGATTGGAAAGAAGCACACCACCGGCTGCCATCACTGCACTGAGCCTGTGGACACGGCGCACCACACATTGGCTACATGCCCAGCATGGAGCCAGGAGCGCCGTATCCTGGCCCGGGCGGTGAAGTGCCGAGTGGATGATCTCTCGTTCTCGCGCATGTGCGCCATGTGCGGGAGCGAGGAGGCATGGGGGCGGCGGCATCCTTCTGTCACGACATAATGTCGCAGAAGGAGGCCGCCGAGTAGGAGCGTCGTCCTGGGATCCGCCGCAGAGAACGGCGAAGAAGACGACGCTCCCCGGGAATGGGCAGCGGGCCCGAGATGGCGCCGGCCGAAGAGGCACGACGGTCACCGGTACGCCGGAGACCGCCTCCTCGGCCGCCTCGGGCCCGTCTTCGGATGTGCAGGGGGAGGGGGTGACGGGTGAGTGTAGCCCACCTACCCGCCTCCCCCCGGTGTCGGTAGGAGTAGGAGAAGGGGGAGTGGAAGCCCGGTTGGAGCCGGGCACTACTCCCCGCCCTCTTCCAAGAGGGGTGCGGAGAAGAGGGTGGGTGTCCCCTCCCTCCTGTAGTGTAACCAGAAGGCCAACCTGACCGGACAGCCGGTCAGGGACCGCGCTCCCAACTCTCTTTGCGGGGGGGGGGGAGAGAGCGCGGTACATAGGCGGGGGCTCTAATAATGAGCCCTGCGGCCGGGATGTCGGGGAGGAAATATGGGAGTAGTTCCCCTGACTCCCCCCACTACGGTCCGAAAGGTAGGCACCCCGCAGGGGTTTTAGTCGGTAAAGCCAGCGGCACACGGTGCTTGTTTCCGTGCTGGATTGCTCACCGGATGAAAATATTGCGTTGTGATTGGTACATTTCCGAAGATGGATGGAAATGCACCAATCAGAACGCAGTATTTTCATCCAGCAAGCAATCCAGCACGAAAACAAGCACTGTGTGCCGCTGACTTAAGAGTCCGATATAACTCCCGACCTCCCCCCCCCCAAGGGTCGGGGGTATCCATGATGGATTTACCCTGCGTTACCAAAAGAAAAAAGCTATCACTCGATGATATCTATAACAAATACGTTTCAATATGTGCGCGGCTCTGCCTCAACGAAATTGTTCTTAGTCTCCGAGACAAATGAATCTATAAGCTAGCTCTAAATTTATTCCTTAAATTTTCTTATTCTCTCCTTTCCTATTTTATATATTTACTATGTCGATGTCTGCTTCAGTCCTATGTTAATGTTAATTTTATTTCAAGGTATGCTATTTAATATTATTTTTATGTTATTTAATTGTTTGGTAATCTATCGCTTACTAAACGAAGCAAGAAAGTAGAAGGAAGAGAGAGAAAGAAAAAGATAGATGATAATTCAGTAAATAGTTTCGAGTAGTAATGATATTATATTATATTAACAATAAAAGACGGCAGAGATATTTGTTGATTGCAGAGGTATTTGTAGGAGGCGCTGCAGTTGGATTAGTCGATGATAGGTAAGGATTCGATTGGATAAGGAAAGGTATGGTGAGTTTTGGTGAGAAGATAGGGAATTTTAATATGGAGAGGCGTTACATTATATTTAAGACCGTCTTGAATTCACGTTCAGATATTCTGTAGCCAATGAAATTATCTATACAGCATCTGAAGATGAACTTAAGACAATCTTAAATATAAGACCGAATTATAAATACAGCTCTCAAAGTAAAGTTTCCGAACCTCTAAAGATACACAAAAAGTGTTAGTTTTTAAGATGCAAATTTAAGATGCAAATATAAGATTAGACAATAAAAACTACTTATAGATTCCTCAGTTCTTATAAAATCTTCAAAATATATTAACTTAGCTCGAATGGCACAAAACGCACTAATATGGCACATTTTTTGACACAATCGAACACGGTTTTGCTGGCAACATTGCCTCCAGATCTTATTTAAGACCGTCTTAAGTTCATTTTCAGATACTCCGCAGCCAATGGCCGCATTCAGCAGACTCAACAGTTGGACAACATTACTAGATTTACCACTGAATCTCGCTCCTGATTGGTAAATATTTCTGGGTCTATGAAGAATCTAAAAGAATGCTCTAATCACAGACAATAATCATTAAACGCTCTCTGATCACTTTGTTCTACTGAACGCGGCCAATGAAATAATTTGTACAGCATCTGAAGATGAACTTAAGACGGTCTTAAATATGAGATCCGATTATGAATACTGGCCTAGGTCTTCGTATATCGCGAGGTTACTCGCGACTTTTACGTGTGGCATCACTGACGAGTCGGATTCAACATGTAGGTATAGGAGCGCGTTTAAATTGCCGCAAAAAGAGTCGCTGTCGCTGCGAAATCGACGATGGCAGATTTCAACGATGGAGTGGACGGCAAATTAGCATCCCGGATGCGTAAAGTCAACCCTGAGCAATTTCACACCCTCGTAAAGATGCATTTGTCTTTTGAATTGGACATCCACACGGAGGAGTGAGTTTCCACGGCGACGTTACGTTCAATCTCCTTTGTACCGGCGTTTGACTATGCGTCATTAGTGCGATTTTAATACTTGATACCGTCAGAATAGTTTCATTGATTCTCTCTTTCTCTCAGATTTTTTTATCTCTTGTAATCTCTTATCATAGTTGTATTAATTTCATATTTTAATATTCGCTTTTTTCTTTTAGCAACGATGCTATTACTGAAAAAGCTAGACTGAAAAAGTGGGGTCTTCATCTGAGTTTTAGCAGGAAATCTAAGTCTCTGGTTAGTCTGGAGAAAGGTACAGAAGGTGTTATTTTGTCCGAGGATGGTATAAATCATGTAATGCAATTGATAAATTACTTGTCTATGGAGCAAAGTAAGTAGCAATATTAGAGAAGATTCAGGAGAACTGAAATTAAATATGTGTTTCTTTCACAGATATCATACAGGAAGGTATATTTCGACGTACAGGGAAATTAACAAGGCAACAGGATTTAAAAATTGCTATGTCTCAAAGTTTATCCTTAGATCTAGATGATGGACGATTCAGTGTGCATGATTGCGCATCAGTGTTAAAAGGATTTCTAGCTGAGCTGTCAGAACCACTTTTGACAGATCTGCATTATCCAGCACATTGTCAGATAGCTGGTAAAAAAAATATTTTTATTATACTTATATAATATAGTGTATAAATAGTAAATGTAAATATAAAATTGAGTATATAATGCAGATATATAAAATGTATTTTTTGTATATTTGTACAGATTATATACATTTCACAGCTTAAAAATTATTCACAGAATTATGCAGCCTGGATGCAAAGACAAATGATGGAAGACTGCTGAGATCTTTACAACTTCTTCTTCTGCTTCTACCATGTTCAAATAGAATTCTTCTGAAGGCTATTCTTACTTTGCTCAACAAAACTGCGAGTTATGAGCATAGTAATAAGATGAATAGTAACACACTGGCCACTCTCTTCACACCACACTTACTATGCCCACGAAAATTGTCACCAGAAGCTTTACATATCAATTCACAAAATCTTTCATGTCTGGTGGCATTTATGATAAGGAAAGGTATAGATTTATTTGAAATTCCTCCGAAATTGGCTACGGATATAAGAGCATATTGGATGGATCAAGAGAGAAAACTTTTGAGCCCCAAGAATACTGATGTAAGTTTGCGACCGAATATTATCGTAATTAGCCTGATTTTTATATCATTTTAGTGACATGAAAATTGCGATTGCAGTTGAACGAGTCGATACCGGACACCACATCGACGGCTCACACCGTGTTCAGTTTTGTTGATCGTAAATTAACAGCGAAGGCGAATTCTACACAGGATACACAGGCAGCATTGGCTCAGCTATATGCTCATATACAAGCCATGCCGGAATCTGCAAAAAAGCGGAGACTCGTGAAACAGTTTAATAAAGAGAATGGACAGGGTACACCCAGACATGTGAAACATTGTAAAACCAAAAGTCTCGGGGATTCTATAAAGAAACATATTTTTCACAAAAGGATTCTGGGCCACAAGAAATTTATTGACATCAATATTGGATGTAATATCGCCAGATCAAGCAGTGAAGAAAATATACTATCAACGGTAAGATTATTCATTATAATCTTTGTTTTTTTGTAAGGTAATCAAGACGAATTTATGTATAAGAAATTTATATTTCATATATACTTATACTTCATTAATTTTATTTAACTTATATTTCATATATACTTATGTTTCATGAATATCCCAATTTAAAATTTTAATAACATGTTAATTGTCGTGTTGATCTCAGTTGATTGTACAAAGTTTAACTGATTATTGAATTGTCAAGAACATTACATTACATATAAAATATGGTATAAGTAAAACGAGAGGCATATATCTTTTAGTTTGCTTCATTAATTGTCCAATGGTTAATATCTCTTAGATAGAATTAATTTATACTATAATTATATGAATATAATTATATAATTACTCTAGTTTTTTATATGATTATTATGTCTGATTAATATTATTATAATGTTATAATTAATATTGTAATAATAATAATACTTGTAATCGTATAATTATATGTAATTTTACTTTATATATCTACTTGAAAATCAGTAATATAACGCTAATTACTAATGATCACTCAGTTTTTAACATGTTGATACTTCATTTTCAATACTGAAAACCACATGAACTTTTAATTATTGTTTGTCTAATGTATGAAAATATCATTGTACATTTATTTATGTATATGTTTTTAACAGTGGCATGTTTATTTCGTCTAATATTTTTCTTCACACATATTGTACAGAAACTGGAAGACTCATTGCTTCCGGCGAGAACGCTTCTTAGCAAGTCGAACGACGAACTTAGCGTGGAGAATTGTGATATCAAGACTAATAACGACCTTTTGTATGACAAGAATACGAGTAGTAATACAAGTAGCCATAACAACGATACGCAAAATTGTAAAGTAAAAAGAAAGTTGTGCGATCAGTCTGTCAACGAAGAGTTGACTCTGAAGGATGAAGGAAGCTTGAAAGAAATCGTGGAACAGAGTTCGAAGGTGGATATGTCTCCAGATGCGTCTCCAGACCTCGACGGTGATAGATTTAGCTCGCTAAAGGCGCCGGTGGAGCTCAGCTCGAGTATAAGTCTGCAGGAAATTGATACAATGAACGTACTCAACGAACAATCTTGCAATATCGCGCATGTTGCGACTAGTGACAGTAGTCCGATCGATTCCAACAAATTAACACGCCAGTTCAGCGAGCCATCCGACATATATTCCGCTCATCATTGTGATCGGTCATCAATAACGAATGACTGCGAGTTAGTTCAACCGAAATCAGAACCGACATTGCCGTTTGTTGCGAGACCGGATTCACAGACCGACAACATTACCCTGCCTTTGAAGACTCGTATGTTGAATGTGGAAACATCGAATGAAATCGCTCCGAGCGTTGAGCCGCGCACCGGTAACGCATGCCATTTGTCGCCGATTGTAAGAAACCGATTTAGGAATGTATATGCCGTCCACACATCGACGCCGTCGAGCTTGCTGCGACGCAGTTTGGTTACTAATGACTATATACTAACACCTATCACTAACAACGACGACAGAAGTATGAGTCCGATCACACAGAGTGCCACGAAGATGTCAAAGGCTATGCAGGTATGGGAGGTCTATGTCGTCGAATGTAACAGGTAGAATCTGGGATTGGGAAGAACGTCGTTGCCGTTACAATATACTCTTTTTTTTTCGGTAACGACTTGATGACAGAATTGTTTCGTTTTATCTTTTTTCCTCTTTTTCGTCTTTGTAACAACAATAGTGATGAATACGTTTTAAATTACGGTAACTGATATAATTGTCACTTTGCGTTATGCAGAATATATATACAAGGTGTAAACTATTTTATTCTTGGCATTTATATAGCGTTGTTCGTGAAAATTGGTAATTCTTTTTTTGGTAGAAGGATCTCTGTGAGGATTATCCATGACGATCTCTCATATATATATATATATATATATATATTTTATACGTTGAAGAATTATCGAGGTGCATTTTTTAAAAATGTGACACCTTCCATGACGATCTCTCATATATATATATATATATATATATGAGAGATCGTCATGGAAGGTCATATTTTTAAAAAATGCACCTCGATAATTCTTCAACGAAGCATTTTCAGCAAAAATGTTTCGGACAAAAGTTGTATGATTTCAAGGGAGACATAAAACAACTATACTATTTTGTTTATAAATGGCATCACTTTCGAAATATTCACTAATCATTACTTTTCTTAAATGGAAACTCCAATTTTTTATTATACTATCTTTTTCAACCAATTAATTTAAACAACTTTTGTCTGAAACATTTTTTTATTTGCCTAATATTTTTTGAGATATTTAAGGAAAATTTGATAACTTTTTCAATATTTAACTTACGATCTCGCTAACTATTTGTCGGAAAAAAGTGATACTAAACTTTTTTGCTTTATTTAATCTCAAGAATATATTGTTATAATAGCGTCCTGACTTTTGTTAATTTGATGATTTTGAAATTTCCAAAAGTCAGTAGGTTAACAAGTTTTCCTTAAATATTTCAAAAAATATAAGACAAAAAATGTTTTGAACAAAAGTTGTTTAAATTAATTGGTAAAAAAAGACGGTGTAATAAAAAATTGGTTTCCATTTAAGAAAAATAATGATCAGTGAATATCTCGAAAATGGTGCCATTTGTAAACGAAATGATATAGTTGTTTTATGTCTCCCTTAAAATCATACAACTTTTGTCCAAAACATTTTTTCTAAAATGCTTTGTTTTCGAGATAATTTACCAGTCCGGGACTTTTTCCTCACTCTGTATATGTGTCAACAAATATTAAAAAATAAGATCTGCTAAATTTGGTAAAATAAATATAAATATTGCAATAACTTATTATTTCTTGAGTAATGATAATGGTAATGGATTACTTTGTCAAGACGAATAATAATGAATTGTTTTAAAAAATAATCTCAAACCTAATTCAATAATTTCACGGATATTTAATTAAATCAACTCCTTCATGCATTCATCCCCCTATCTATCTGTTGCAGGAGAGCATAATGACCCCGCGTTCCAGAAAACCAGTGATGATAGTCTCAGCGTCGAATCTTTGCAATCTTGTGACCAACAATTGCGATCAACAGTCTAATGTATCCAACAGCGCTCTGCGTGGATCGCATTTCGGTGCGACAAACTACGCCTCTATCTTAGAGGAATCCCAAACGTACAGCAACAGCGCGGACCACGCGCTGTGTCACGTTGCGAAGGATGCTCGTCGTGTCTGCGATGTAGGATGCAATATGCTCGACACACTTGAGAAGCACAGCTGCGGCAATTTCTCCGTTACCAAGTGTTGCACCACGACGACACAGCAGAGTTCCATGTCGATAACTAGCACGTTTCGTGAATATTTGTTGTCGAGAAGCGTCCTGACGGCCAGCCCGGTTGACTTAAGTTTCACATCGCGAACGGGTGACTTCGAGCAGTCCGAGTCAGACTTAAATATTTTGAACGACGAGGACACGTTGTCCGACAGCTTACTCCATTGCCTGGACGGTAACCAGCCGGACACCTCCGACACTTCCGGCATAGCGTCTGGCAGCACAAACAGCGTCAATAACTCCACCGAAAAGATGTCAGAGGAGTCCTCTTCGCCACGGAAACGAGGCACTAGTTTGCAACGAAATGATTCGAAGAGGTCCGCGATGGAGAACAAAGATGCGAAAGGTCACGAGCATTTAAAGTATAGACATCCGCAAAATGAATCGGCATCGATGAACTCTGTGAAAATGAAAGATATTTTCCAACAGACCTCGTTTTAGTAGTCATGCTTTTTTCGAGACACGATCATTACACAATGTGAATCGATCCGCAGTCTTTATACGATCAACATTATATATCGTCGCTGTAACTTAATATTAAGATATCTTTAGAGAGTTAAATTTTTCGAGCGACATTATTCACATTTTTCACTCTATGAACTTAAATTTTTATTTTTTTAATGAGAATACGGCGCTACATATGAAAGAATAGTCTGATTTATAATTTAATTTACGTACTACTATATTCACTTTATTGCCTTGAATTTTTTAAAAGAATGTCTCAGTATGTTGCGTTATATACTATACAAAAAGTTAGTTTGTACGAATAATCAAGATCTCGTTATTTAAAGATATCTTGATATTGCGCCAGAGCAACGATATATCGTTAAATATACCTAAGTCGCTATATTTTTGTACACTATAACGAAACAGAAAAATGCGATTCGTTGAAGTTTATTGATATATGATATAACGTAAGTTTCATCGAGCAAATAATTGACGGTTCGATAACTGAATTATTTATTCTATTTACAAGAACTAAACGCTTATAATATATGCACATATAATACATAGAATATTTATACAAAAGAATTCTATTTCTTTTTCATGTCACTCTTGAGGAAGGCATTTGCGAAAGCTATATGTACTGAGTACTAAGACGCAATTAAGTATTTTTCTAATTATATTCTTTTAGTTTGTTTTGAATCTATTAAATTGCATAATATATAACTTTATACTTTGATATAGAACATGATTTTTGTGCATTCTAAACAAGTTTACAATATGCATAAAGTTTGTTGAAGTATTTATAAATAAAAATAAGTTTATATGACGAATCGTATAATACGATATTTATTCTATAGTAGCGGTTGTACATGTGACTGTAAATATTTTGAAATTTATTAAAAATTAACATACTATTAATTGTCCGATATTTACCTCTATATAGAATATATTATCTTTACATATATATATAAGCGAGTATGCATGTATAGATTTTCTTGAATTTTTCGACATCTTTAATACGAACTGAAAGTAGCTGAAAAAATGATTCTGTCAAGAACCGCCAACTGTCTGAAGAAAGTAATGCATACACGCTATCATAAACAATACAGTATCATTATATTATCTCATACAACATTTATATCAATGTGAGTTGTGTTAGTTGTGTGAATTGTGTTATTTTATTTTTCTTTTCACATTCCTTGTTTTTAATCAGATACTCGGATTGTTTTCATTTTGATGAATTTTGCAAGTATATCCTAGATAGAAAGTTTTCTAAGAATTATATGTTAAAAATTAAATTCACTTAATGGATATGGAATGTATTGTAAGTTTCTTTGAGATAAAAATGTTGCAATCTTTGAGCATTTGAATGCATATAGATTTTACATATAATGATCATTAAATCATGAGGCAGGCATCATTAAATGAAAAAGAGGTTACAGTAAACTTTATAATCATTGGTATCATACAAAAGATTAGATGATATAGGATAGGCTGATATTTATAGGTCAGAACATATCATCGTGATTTAGATCAGGCATATATGAAAGGCCACGTTCTTTCAGAGCTTTATTCCTCAATCGTTTCTGGTCTTGTTTCAATTCTTGTTCACGTCTTTGGGCATCCAGAATATCATCCACTGTCACTTGTGTTAAGGGCAAGACTTTTTCTTTTTCTAAGTCCTGTAATAAAGATGTTTGTTTTAACATTTTATATATTATATAGTATAATATATTTAAAGTGTATATATATTTTTGAATATAATAAGCACACTTACTATTTCTCCCAAGAGCACAACATTTTCACCTCTTACTATGAATATACCTCTTGGAATATCACCATATTCCTTGCCAACATGAATCCTTTCAATAGTACGGTGTAATACAATATTAGCAAATTGGTCTACACTTCTAAGATAACCAATTAAGGTCCTGCCATCTCTCAATAAAACCATAAGTTTTTCTGAGGATAAGAAGCAAATACAAGATAATTGAAAAATGTTTAATCATTTCATATTTTTCATATCTTTTTACTTAGTATTTATTAAAACAACTTATAATAGATATAGATATAGATAGCATATAAAAGATATACATAAGGTATTAAACATGTGTATGTAATTATTAATGAGCTCATTTTAAAATTAGAGTTTATTTTTGAATTGTCACAATCTAAATCCCTAAAATCAAGAAATATATTATTCAAGATTCAAAACTTATAAACATGACTTCCTTTTTCCTTGAAACATATTTTTATTAAAAGAAAAAAGATACTTGTATAACCTAGACTTTTTCGTTATAAGATAAAAAAATATAAACTTATGAGCAAACAACTTAGATATTCGATAAGAACTGCGTTTATATTATAACTTTATTATATTAACAAATCTAAATATGTGATATTTTTTGGAGTGTACAAAAGTTTCTGCTAAATATTTTGAGACAGTATTCTACATCTCTGAACATCATATCTCGATGTCAATTTCGAGATTTCTTAAATTTTTATACAACGAAAATATGTAACAATCAACAATTAAACCGGCATTTAAAAATACACCTGGATTTATATATACAGGTAATTTATTCATAATAATTAAACCAGAACACATACTGTCGAGTTCTTCGAGTAACGACGCTGTTCCCGGTACCATATTCATTTTGCAATCGATTATCCGATAATTCAATCACTTATTAAAAATAATCAATTGTCATAAATTTCTTTTATGATAGAACTCAAATAAATTCCATTTGTTGATTTAACTAAAACGCCTTTTGTTCATTAGCCTAAGCAATGTCGCCAGTAATAGTATGTATCAGTTATATCAAATATAACACAATCAATAGTCGATGGCACATACACTGATACACATTTTAATGTTTTTTTTGGTACTTTCTGAATTTTTTGGCATGAAAGAAGAAAAATTGGTGGTATGCAGGACCATGCAGGACTCCATTGATTCATGGTTCATGGTTCAATAGATGGCTCCAGATGGACCAATTCCGTTCTTACGCCAGTCATCTAAGGCCGTGTTCCAAAATTCACTGCTAGCGCTGAAAAGTTATAGTTTGCGTGACACGAACTATATATTTTCAGTACTGGCAGTGAATTTTGGAACACAGCCTCTGGACTCCATTGGGTGCGGTCCATTTGATGTTACAAAATCTTCTAAAACTCTATGCTCCAAATATGGGTCTATTCTTTATAGCTGCACTGCTAAACTCACAGGATCTGTTCTTTTTAGCTGCACTGCTAAACTGGTGCAATAAGTTAGAATGAGAAAAAATATAGTTATCTCACTCTAACTTATTGCACTAGTTCAGCAGTACAGCTAAAAAGAATAGGGGCTGTATTCCGTACCTGCATATCGACAGTTAGCCGGTGTCGTTAGCGGCATTGCGCAGATTTTCCATATAACAAAAAAGCTGCGCAATACTGCTAACGACGCCGACAACTATCGATATGGAGATACGGAATTCAGCCTCAGACCACCTGGGGTGCGTTCTAAAATTCTACTCGGTTAAAGCTAAGACTCCATGCATGCGGTGAGCTCCGGCAAACGGCTGCGGTGACCAATCAGGAAACAGACGCATGCCGGAGCTTGCCGCAACCGGATTTGCGCCTCCCTCCTGATTGGTCACCGCAGCCGTTTGCCGCAGCTCACCGCATGCATGGAGTCTTAGCTTAACTCTGTAGAACCCGTGGTAGTGGAGGAAAGAGTAAAGCCAGCGGCACACGGTGCTTGTTTTCATGCTGGACTGCTTGCTGGATGAAAATACTGCGTTCTGATTGGTGCATTTCCATCCATCTTCGGCAATGTACCAATCACAACGCAATATTTTCATCCAGCAAGCAATCCAGCACGCAAACAAGCATCGTGTGCCGCTGGCTTTAGGGTGCGTTCCGTTTCTTGCATGATGCGTATGGACGCATGAAAGTCCATTCCGTTTCTCTTCATGCCCACTCTATGCGTGCATGATTCAACTTACCGCCAATGCATTGCTCCGCCTCTTCCGGTGCATGAAACTGCATGGACTGCCTCACCAGAGAGAAGAATGAGAGCGGCCACCGGCCGTATTTCGGAGGATACGGCTAGGTGCATTTTAGATACGCCATCTGACAAAATGCGCCTAAACTACGTCCGCTAGGTGCACTTTCGCGGTGGTAAAAGTAAAATGCGCCTAGGTTCGCGTCCGTACTATCGTTCCATGCAATGGATAGTAGATTAAAAAAAGACAGACGACAGACAATCGTTCCGTCTTTGTCTCACTACTGAGCGGCGCGCGGCAGTAAACACGAGGCGAGGTAGCGGCGATCTTATCGCTAAGCGAACATCTCTCCGCTTTTCTTTCATCTTTCACGCTCCAGAGACATCAAAAGACGCGGTAGCGTCTCGTGTTAAGGGAACGTGCGAAGCGAGGAATTATTTTTCACGCACGCGAGGTAGCACATGGGAGACTAGACGAGCGTCGACATATTATTTGTTTCTTTCCCGCTCGTCTAGCTTATTGACTGCGTGAGCCGCAAGATTTTTCTCCCTACTCCTATACCTCACTCTTTCTCTCTCTCGCTCGTTCTTTCTTTCTCTCGCGCACTTGCTCGCTCTTCCTCTCTTCTCGTGTTCTTACGGCTTGATTAAATATATTAATTACATGACAATATATATATAAATAAATGACACATATATAGTGTATATGTATATAAAGAATATTTAGTATTAATGCACAAATAAAGAAGAGAGAATTATAATGAGAGACGAAAAGTTAATAGAAATCCACTCTTAGCCAATATATACATTTTTTTAAAATGATTTGTTATTAAAGTATATGACAGAATAATTTATTTATGCTAATAAATTTAAATTAAAAATTAAATGAAATGTTATTTGTTTTGTAAAAGATATTCCATTGCTACATTTTTCTTTTCGTAGCAAAAATAAATTTAGTCTAGTAAAAAAAGAAATTAGTTTTATTATCATATTTCAATTACGACTTTATTATTTATTTTTACGAATAGATAACGTGCATATTGTTGCTCAACGGAAACCGCGAGAAAATGGTGATCTCCGTCCAAAAAATAAATGCAAACTTTTTAATAATATAATAATTTTTTTACGTAAGTATTTATTTTTATGGTATAACCTGTTGAATTTTATTAATTATTAATTCAGCATGTTATAGTATAAAAAATATACTTTAGTATAAAAATTAATGTAATATTAATGGTTTGCATTTGCAAGAAATATGGATAGAACAGTATAGGTTGCAATGATACATAGGAAGAAAAAAGATAGATGGATAAATAGATAGATAGATAGATAGATATAGATGGATAAATAGATAGACAGATAGATAGATAAATAAATAGATAGATGGATAGATAGATATAGAGAAATAGATAGATAGATAGTTAGATAGTATAGAAAAAAAGATAAATAGAAATATAATTATCATTATTATTATTATTAATGTTTTCAGTAAAGAGAACATTCGCTTAAACGTAAGTCTTACTTAGGTCCAGTTTCACGACTTATATTATATTAACCGGAATATATTATACGACTTATATTATATTAACCGGAATATATTATACGATTTATATTATTTTAATCGGAATATAATTCGTTAATATTAGAAGTACCGAGCGGTTATTTCTGATCGTTTCTATTTTTTAGATTAATATCCTGTTTCTTTAAGATTACAGGATTTTTGTTTTGAGGGTTTGTTTAATAATGTGATATTTGTAAAGAATGTATGTAAATTTCTACATATAAGATTAAAAATATGAAAAATATTGCAGTGAAAGCAAGGAGGTTCCACGGTGCGCACGATATCTCAATAACTATTTCACCAATCGACTTGCAACTTGGCAGCATTATAAAATAGACTTCTCTTTACCGTTTTAACTACAATTAACCAAATTCATTAATAATTAATATTTTTTATTAAACTTTACCGAGAGGCCAGAAATAGACGATTTTTGTTCTAAATGCTACCATTTTATTATTTGTGTTCCGATTGTAGTTCAAACGATAGCTATATTTATAGAAAATAAAAAGCTACTTTAAATAATTGTGAAAAATTAAATCACACACATTTAGAAATTCCTTGGAATCGTCTATTTGCAACTTCTTTGCTTTTACTGCAATATTTTATATATTTTTAATCTTACATACTTGTAGAAAAATGTATATATATTCTTCAAACATCATTAAGCAAACTCTCAAATCCCGTAATCTTTTAATCATGTGTTCTTTTTCGCTTCCGCAAAAAAGATTAACGAAATATACGTATTTTTTGTCGGGTTGAATAAGACAACTCTTTAAAAGCCTATCTAAACAAAATTACATAATCGCATCATTGATATGCACAAGGAAATCAACCAATCATAATCCGTACAAGCGTGCCTTTTATATTAGACATATTTTACATTTAATTAATCTGTTTCCTTCTCTAGAACAAATAATCATCAAAGGTCAAGATAACGTCAAAATTATTTTGACTTAATTTTGACATCATCTTCACTTTTATATAATTATTTGTTCTACTTCGGTTATGCATATGAACAATACGACTATGCAAGTTTGTCTCAATAAGTCTTAAACTCCGATTAAAATAAATTATGAAACTAAATCTTAGTGTTTTTCAATCATTGGCATCTTTCACGATGTTACGATTATAAATATTATCTATATAACCAATTGTAACCTACACAATGGAACGCTCTTCGATTGAACCGATTGAAACGCTCAAATTATTTAAAGTAGCTTTTTATTTTCTATAAGTATAGCTATCGTTTGAACTACAATCGGAACACAAATAATAAAATGGTAGCATTTAGAGCAAAAATCGTCTATTTCTGGCCTCTCGGTAAAGTTTAATAAAAAATATTAATTATTAATGAATTTGGTTAATTGTAGTTAAAACGGTAAAGAGAAGTCTATTTTATAATGCTGCCAAGTTGCAAGTCGATTGGTGAAATAGTTATTGAGATATCGTGCGCACCGTGGAACCTCCTTGCTTTCACTGCAATATTTTTCATATTTTTAATCTTATATGTAGAAATTTACATACATTCTTTACAAATATCACATTATTAAACAAACCCTCAAAACAAAAATCCTGTAATCTTAAAGAAACAGGATATTAATCTAAAAAATAGAAACGATCAGAAATAACCGCTCGGTACTTCTAATATTAACGAATTATATTCCGATTAAAATAATATAAATCGTATAATATATTCCGGTTAATATAATATAAGTCGTATAATATATTCCGGTTAATATAATATAAGTCGTGAAACTGGACCTAAGTAAGACTTACGTTTAAGCGAATGTTCTCTTTACTGAAAACATTAATAATAATAATAATGATAATTATATTTCTATTTATCTTTTTTTCTATACTATCTAACTATCTATCTATCTATTTCTCTATATCTATCTATCCATCTATCTATTTATTTATCTATCTATCTGTCTATCTATTTATCCATCTATATCTATCTATCTATCTATCTATTTATCCATCTATCTTTTTTCTTCCTATGTATCATTGCAACCTATACTGTTCTATCCATATTTCTTGCAAATGCAAACCATTAATATTACATTAATTTTTATACTAAAGTATATTTTTTATACTATAACATGCTGAATTAATAATTAATAAAATTCAACAGGTTATACCATAAAAATAAATACTTACGTAAAAAAATTATTATATTATTAAAAAGTTTGCATTTATTTTTTGGACGGAGATCACCATTTTCTCGCGGTTTCCGTTGAGCAACAATATGCACGTTATCTATTCGTAAAAATAAATAATAAAGTCGTAATTGAAATATGATAATAAAACTAATTTCTTTTTTTACTAGACTAAATTTATTTTTGCTACGAAAAGAAAAATGTAGCAATGGAATATCTTTTACAAAACAAATAACATTTCATTTAATTTTTAATTTAAATTTATTAGCATA